TTTTATAAAAAATCCAGACAAGGATCTTATAAACTAAGATGCTACATAACATACCTGGTGAAGGTCCTCAGCCGCAGGGTACGAAGTCCACTTATACAACTGTAGTCTCAATGAGTCTGGAGTCCACTTTACATAAAACCGTAAGAGATGTGTTGCCTCAGACGCCGAGAATTCTCAGCCTGTCGGGACGAAACAACACCATGAGCAAGTGAGCTTTATATCTGTGTCTTCTGGGAGTCCTTGAAACTAGCTGCCTTACCTTCTTTATTATGACATCGCGGTAACACTTGTCAGATGTGAGAAACTGGAAACGAAATCCCATATAAAAGAGGAATACCCGGGACCATGATGATTGTGTGTGCAGGCAAGGCTGTGGTCGTCCGTCTGTTCCTAAGTGTGTACTTCCTGTTCTCGGTACAACCTCTTTCGTTGTGTCTGTCATGTTGAAGGATCTATGGCTGTGCCCCGGCATACCTCCGTACCCTGAGACTCCCTTTACCCCTGAGCCCCCCTTACCCCCGAGCCCCCCTTACCCCCGAATCCCCCTTACCCCCGAGCCCCCTTACCCCTAAGTCCCATCTTACCCCCTCCCCCACCCCCCCCTTACCCGACCCCCCCCCTGAGCCCCCTGCCCCCCACCCCCTGCCCCCCCCCCCCCCCCCCCCCCCCCCCCCCTTACCCCCGTACCCCTTACCCCTGAGTCCCTTTACCCCTGTGCCCCCTTTACCACATTACCCCTGACATTCCCTTATCCCAGGCCTTCGAGACTCCCCTTTCCTTCCGACCTCTAACAGAAAACAACATTGCACCGAGTAGGGAAAATATGACCGCAAAAAGATGAAGTGTTCAGTTGGATACCAGACAATTTGTAGTAAATGCAAGTGTTGGACGCGCGCCCTGAGGTTCTGGTTAGGCTTCATTCTTATTCCCTGAGTCTCCTGCGAACGGCTCTCTCTCTCTCTCTCTCTCTCTCTCTCTCTCTCTCTCTCTCTCTCTCTCTCTCTCTCTCTCTGACGTTGTTTACCTCTGAGGTGTCCATCATCCTTACCTCACCCTACCACTCAGTCTTGATGTTAAGGCTCGACGACCTCATTAGGGGGATAAAAAAGAAAAAGAAATCGTAAAACACAACAGTTCCTCCTCACAACTCCTACCTGGATGTGGGTGAGAACTGTATTTGTCTCAGGTAAATATTTATTCTACTTTAAATGGCAATTGTGGGAGGGGGGGGGGAGGGAGGGGGTTGGATGTACGTAATTTTTTTTTGGACACCTTTGGGAAACTCTGGTATTTAATTCAGGGTTATGCTGAGAACTTGAGATTTTTAACCTCTATATCCTCAGATTTGTCTTTATATTACAAGAGTGATTTTTACATATTATTTAGCTGCATCATTCACCAGTTTTTGAACCATCACAACTACTGTAGATGTTGGTTGGGGGATTTTTTTTTATTCTGTAACTGTACCTTACTCAACACTGGGGTTTTCCATATTTCCCAGTTAAAAAGAAAATGCATCATGGAAACTCTACCAGACATGAACCAGAAAAAAACTACAATAGAATGATGTAATTTAAGTCATTACATAAACAAGAGAAACCTAAGTCCTCCATGAGTCAGGTGAGTGCGTGAGGCAGGTGAGTGCGTGAGGCAGGTGAGTGCGTGAGGCAGGTGAGTGCGTGAGGCAGGTGAGTGCGTGAAGCAGGTGAGTGCGTGAGTCAGGTGAGTGCGTGAGGCAGGTGAGTGACTCGCCTCCACTTCCTCGCACACTTTACTGTCCACAAAGTCAGTGAAAAATAAACACGATTTTTTTGTCTACCCTCCCACACTGTCAACACTTTTCTTAAGAGATAAAATTAATATAAAAAAGGTAATTCGTTTTCTGAAGTTCTTTAAATTGTTTAGAAAGTTTCCAGAATAACAAAAAGAAAAAGAGATATTCGCCTTTATCCTTGGGTTAACTATACGGTGCAGCAAATCATGAGGAAAAAAAATTATTGTCGATTTGCTTTTTTTTTTCAATACACAGATTCATTTCAATGTTGGGAATATATTGAAATAAACTTAGATGATGAAACAAATAAACTGTCAACAACGGTGGAGATAAACTTTTGTCATAACAGAACAAGAAACACACTGCTTCACCTGTATGTGTCATTGTCGTGTTGTTCTTGTCAGTTGTACCATGAATCAAAACAACATACTCAACGTTGTTTTTGTTCGTTTTTGTTTTTGTTTGTTTTAACCAAGAAGCCCAGAAACATTGTATAAAAACACCCTTGTGTGTACGGTACGTAAGGGCGACTTAAAGTGACTGACTAAGACGGTTTCAAGTTCGCGGGTGTTGAAAATGGCCTCCGTCTTGATCAATACAGATGTGGGTCCACTTGTACACACACACACACACACACACACACACACACACACACACGGACGTCCAAACGAACATACAGACTAAACGAACATAAGGATAAACGTATGAATTCACATGAGGACGAACGGCCGAAAGGATAGAAGAACGGACGGATGAATGTTCGATCACGGACCAAAAAATAAAAATAAATAAAATCCTGTTAATCGTTTGGGAGTCCGGTATCCCTCTCGTGTTGACCTTGTAGTACGTAACTGCTCAGTTCTCGGTACAGCCTCAAACACGTGTATAACGGGTATTTTTCTCCTTGACTGCACCTACAAATTGTCGGACATAAAGGATAGCAATAATTTCTCTTGGTTACAGAAACTTAGAAAAATTATAGAAACCGGGACTTAAATGATGAATACTTACCAATGTTTATTATATACACTAATGAATAAAAGGTACATGATATATAAATTAGACATTGGCATCATTTAGCACGCCAGCCATTAGGTCATCGCCTGTTAGATCAGAAGACAGAGAAAGGCTGTTATCTGAGGAGAGAGCCGTTGCTGGTTGACTAATATACTGTTTTTAAATTTTATTAAGCACATTTATCCGACTTACTTGGCGGCCATCACAACGAAGGAGGGAAGGAGTGACACAACGAAGGAGGGGAGGAGTGACACAACGAGGGAGAGATGGAGTGACACAACGAAGGAGGGAAGGAAGGAGTGAGGTGATCAGTGTAGGAACCTGCCAGAGTGATTTGTGTAATTGTCTGGGCTAATTAGCATAGCACCTGTGACCGTGTATGAGAAAGATTTAAGAGGACTCGAAAAATATGCGATGAGAAGGGTGTGTGTGGGTCAGCTACACCTAACCTAACCCAACCTAACCTAACCTAACCTAACCTAACCTAACCTAACCTAACCTAACCTAACCTTAACCTAAACTGGTGTAATTTTTGGACATTATTATTTTAGATGGTGGATTTTCTCAACTGGGATTGTATTGGGTAGTATTCTGTTTTTTTTTATGTACGACTAAATTAAGTGTCAAAATACCAGTTATGACACGAGTTATCATGAGGTCCCTATAGCTGCGGTTTTGTGGTCTTTATGTTAATCAAAAAACAAAAACAATTAAGATTTTTATAAGTGTTTACCTACGTCATATCTCATAACATTACTTACTTAAAGACTTCGTTATCCCTACATAAAATCATCATCCTTTGTTGAGTAAATTAACAAAGTTTCGTCTCTGATATGTAACACAAGTAACGCTCTATAGGTTAACACTCTACACCTGTGAGTATTATACAACCAAACACAGCAGTCTTGGAGAAATTCACACTAGACATGAAAGTGACCAGACGAAAAACACGGCTGCCTAAAGAAAACAAAACATATGGTTCCTCTCGTCGATGTTGGATCGTTTGGTGAGGTTGAGAAGTACATGAGTGTGGAGAGGGAGAGTACTGAGTGGGTGGTGAGAGGGAGAGTACTGAGTGGGTGGTGAGAGGGAGAGTACTGAGTGGGTGGTGAGAGGGAGAGTACTGAGTGGGTGGTGAGAGGGATAAGTGGGAATTATTGGGGACAAGGAGGAAGAAGGGGAAGAGTAGCAGAAAGGTGGGGATGATGATGGAATGGAAGAGAAAAGGAGGGAGGGAGAGGAGAGAGAAAGGGGAGAAACACTTCGATAAGGAGGAGGAGGAAAGTGACTCGAAGAGAATAGAGTTGAAACGAAATGAAGAAGAAGGAAAAACACCGTGAAAGATGTGATTAGAAGGACATGAGATGAAAGGGAAAGAGAGGAATACGAGAATAGTTGCGAAGAGGACATGAGAGAGAGAGAGAGAGAGAGAGAGGGGGGGAGGTGGTGAGGTGACGGAGCAGAGAGAGAGAGAGAGAGAGAGAGAGAGAGTAAATGAGAGAGGAAGTGAGGCAGGGAGGGAGGGAAGAGAGGTGAGGGAGGGAGAGGGGAGATGGAGGGAGGGAGGTAGTGGTGCTCCGAGACATGAGACTCTCAGACGGTCCAACTTAAAGCTGCAGGTGGAGGATCCATACACCTCCTGGCTCCCTTAACGGTGGCTCCTTAATAGTGGCTCCCTTAATAGTGGCTCACTTAATGGTGGCTCTCTTAACGGTGGCTCCTTAATAGTGGCTCCCTTAACGGTGGCTCCCTTAATGGTGGCTCCCTTAACGGTGGCTCCTTAATAGTGACTCCCTTAATAGTGGCTCCCTTAACGGGGTCTCCCTTAAAATTAATGGCTCCTGTTTTTATCTGTTTATCTCTATCTGTCTATTTGTGTGTGTGTGTGTGTGTGTGTGTGTGTGTGTGTGTAATATGGACGTACAGCTTCCCACAGTATTTCAATGTGTTTATGATATTACCTTACCTAACCTAACCATACCAAACCTAACACACAAACAAACCAACAAACGAAACCGGAAAAATTATTGGTTTCAGGTTTTTAGTTCAAGGAAGAAAATAAGAGAGAGAAGAGTGAGTAAAGTATATCAATTGTATAGAAAATTACTGCAGATAATGGGTCTAGGATTCACTTGTGGCTGGTCTTGGCTTCCCTTGTGGCTGGTCTTGGCTTCCCTTGTGGTGGGTCTTGGCTTCCCTTGTGGCTGGTCTAGGATTCCCTTGTGGCTGGTCTTGGCTTCCCTTGTGGCTGGTCTTGGCTTCTTGTTGGTCTTGGCTTTCTTGTGGCTGGTCTTGGCTTCCCTTGTGGTGGTCTTGGCTTCCCTTGTGGTTGGCTGGTCTTCCCTGTGGTGGGTCTTGGCTTCCCTTGTGGCTGGCTTCCTTGTGGCTGGTCTTGGCTTCCTTGTGGTGGGTCCCCTTTCTTGTGGTGGGTCTTAGGCTTCTTTGTGGCTGGTCCTTCCTTGTGGCTGGTCTTGGCTTCCCTTGTGGTGGGTCTTGGCTTCCTTGTGGCTGGTCTTGGCTTCCTTGTGATTGCTCTTGGGTTCCCTAGGGCTGGTCTTAGATCCCCCATTCTTCCACTCCCTTAGAAAGTGGCCTTCAGAGGCGAGTTTCAAAACTATATATATAACGAAGGACTTGGTGAGGCGGGTCGTGTGTATGAGGTGAGGTTAGGTTAGGTTAGGTGAGGTGAGGTTAGGTTAGGTTAGGTTAGGTGAGGTTAGGTTAGGTTAATATTAAGATGATTTAAGCTGGGGTACCTAATCTTCACATGTCCCGGAGATTGTTCAGTATTCGTTATAAGATAATTAAAGCATCGGAATAAACGATTTTTTTTTCAAATATTAGATAACTTTATGTTTGTACAATACGTGGAGGGAATTATAACTAATGTCACCTCGAGGGAACTAACGATGTAATATTAAATTGTTTACCTGGACCTTAAAGTTGCCTCTAGGGGGGTGGGGGATATGTTAGTCTATCATACAGCTCCCACTTTGACATTTCTTCTGAAGGTCACACACAACTCCACCTTCGTTACACAAAGACAACTTCTTCAGCTTTCATCTACAAGGGACTTCATCTTCTCCAGGGGATCATTTTGACCTTGATATCCCGGAGCTGTAAAAGTAAACAGTAAAATGTGAAATGCAGTTAACGTCATCATGGTATTTGGTGGGACATGTTGCTGATAACTTTCTCCGGGTTTTCTTTTGGCTTTGTAATAATATCATGGTGATTAGATGGCTTAGTCTGACGCAGAAGTATGTTGTGTGTTATAAATCATCAGAAAACAATTGGTCTTTTTTACGTAATACTCGTAAATTCTCGACGTGATAACTGGTAACTTATTTTCCTGTCAGAGAAAAATTATGATACATGCAGTCACTTTCTACCCGAAGTTGTTGCTGTTTTTTTTTTCCATTGGCCTAGATGCTATTAAGGGGAAAGATTACTGCCAGACAACAGGTATACCTAATCTCAATAGGGAGATCTCACACACACACACACAGAGCTGAGTGTGCAGCATACAACCTAGTCTCGCTCCTGCAATACGTACTACCAAAGATTACCAACAAACATATCACACAAAATAACATATATATTCACATCATCATCATTATCATCATCCCAACATCACACAACATTGCAACTTCAGGAATCAGCCTTACTTAAGGTCTTAACATAACAAACTTTGTCAGAACTTTAGTCAAAATTACAAATTAAGTTCGTTCTCATGTTTAAAGTTAGGTTCTACAGTACCCGCGAGCAGTTGACAGCTATATATGTAAGCAATGTGTACTCCTTGGTGGGATACTGATGTCATCTGGGGGTGATGTTGTGGCATTTCTCCTCGAATCGGTGAAAACAAAATGTATAGCAAAGTAATCAACAATAATGACCTTACCAGAAAACTCCCAACTTTGCACATTCGCTGGGATATCTCACCGCTCTCCTTATTCTGTTGATAACCCCACAGTCTGTGTTTTGACGAGCTGTACTCTCAGTTATGCCAGAGTGTTTTCCTGTGTTATATAGCCTCCTGTGTCTATTTAGTTCATCATGCTTCAGATATCTTCAGTGTTTGACTTGGGGACAAACACCTGGTTGAGTATATTTGACAACGACACTTGTTTGGTGTCTTCCTGTGCGTTTTTATTGTGTTGAAAGAGGTGAGAAAGTTATCAGATTTTTTTTAGTTTTTAAATAATGTTTTTTTTTTTCTAAATTTTTACCCACGTTATGGAAATTTTCAACATAAAGAAAGTAGACACTGTCAAAATGTTTATCTTTCTGTACTGTTTTGTTTATATAAGTCTACAGTACGAACATTTGTACTACAATAAATGCCTCGTATGTTGTCCATTCAGTAGGTTACCATTTGTTAAGGTGTAAGAACTGTACACCACCACGCATGAATCTTATCCTTTCACTCAAATACGTTACAATAGTGTGTGTGTGTGTGTGTGTGTGTGTGTGTGTGTGTGTGTGTGTGTGTGTGTGTGTGTGTGTGTGTGTGTGTGTGTGTGTGTGGAGAGATAATACACTTAAATTGACAGGTGTTTTGAACATCATCATCAATATACTCTGATTATACTGCTACAACAACAAAGTTCGCTTATTAACAGTGAATTCTGGACAAAATATTATCCACACGAGTTTCCCGACCACTCGCGTTGTAGTGTACAGTCTGCCACAACTCGACCTTGGTGAAACCAACTCACGTAAATTTTTCCCTGAACAGTTTGGTGACTCAGCCAGTGAGCGAGATATTGCCAGAAACCTGCAAGCACATCTGTCACGCCTCGACAACTAGGTTAAGGAGACCGTCACGGAGGGTGTGTGACAGCGGGCGGGCATGTAGGATAACAGGAGGATGGGTGGCCAGAAAAGACTAGGGTGTACCTGGCATGCGTTGCGTGTTAGCATCGCCCGTTCATCACATTATCACGAGAAATAATGAAAACCTTCCCGGTCACAATTACCTTGATGCAAAGATTGTCATACATGGCTTTATGTGAGGTGCGAAACAAAACTACAGTAGAGCGTTTAAGCTGTAACTGTGATATTGTGTTGACAGCTAACTCTTTCCTCCCACACTAACAGTATACAACAGGCGACACAGATTGTGTTTATGTAAAGCAAGTGCTGACCCCAAGCCTTGTGACGATAACACCAGCCCTACACTGTTGTGCTGATGGGAGCGTGGCTGGTCTCTTCGTCTGTAATAAGTGATCATAAAGTTAGTGAAGGGAGGGAGAAAATGAAATATTGTTTACCTCTTACATGTCCCTGACGTAAAAGGCCAACAGAAACCACACACCGGATAGGCAATATTACCAGCCGCTACCCTCACGACTACACCCACTCTCATGGCCACACACACACACACACACAATATATATATACTGTACATATTTATTCTCTGTGATTGTAGTAGTTGGTGAATAGAAAAAAAAAATAATTGGTTTGCATATATTTGTTGGTAGCGCTGAAGTTAGGTTAAGTGTGTTGGTCATTAATTTAACAAGTGTATACACCTACCCCCCTAATAGTTAAACTCTACCTACAGAAACCCTACAAAAAATAGTATACTGTACCGTTATATCTCCGGTCTGTAACTAACACACCACTACACCCACAACCTGAATATATCTTCGGTAACAAACATCTCAGATTTATATATATTTAGTCCAACTGCATAACCAATACCTCTCTCACCCACACCCCCGTAAAATACACTAACGTATGTCTTAGCTTAAACCAATTCATTTATTTCACCGTCCGACCACTCACATATACAGTCTACACTTAGCTACACTACACCACTGTTTCAGCAGCCTATTAACACACACACACACACACACACACACACACACACACACACACACACACACACACACACACACACACACTACGATTACATATAGGCATTCAGCAGCTCCGAGTAAGCATAGAGTTGACAGGATCCACCGACCATCTTACAGGATAGGGAAGCATCGCCTCACCAGTCAGGGAGTAAGATTACCTGCACGACATCAAGCGAGGCTGCAGTGTACTGTAACGTCTTGTAGAACCAACGGGGACTAGACCAGAAGTTGAGAACAAGTAAACACTCAAGGATTTGTTAATAAACCAGACATTTTAACAAAGGTTTATGACCCAGGTTTATGACGATGAAGTGTGATCAGTTATTAGGCTTTGAAACTGGAATCAAGGATCAGGTTTAGAAACTGAACTATTAGGAACAGGAACTAGAAGTGTGGCAGTACTCTTAGGAACTGCCGACTCGGATTAAGAGTATCGTATAATTTCTCATTTAATCTAAAGTTACACAGTGAGTTCTATCATTATTTTTCATTGTTGATGGAATAGTGTAAATAATAACCTCTTAAAGACCTTCGTTGTTGAAGCGCAGTAATAACAGTAGAGCATCAACCTTGCGCTATCATCTATCGGTGTATTACGACGTTAAGAAAGACTAAGTCAGATAATTTGGATGTTGTATCATTATGATGTTGAGATCATGTTTATGAGCACATTATATCGTGGAATGTTGTGGGTGGTGGTGGTGAGGGCTTGACAAGTGGTGGTGGTGGTGAGGGCTGGACAAGTGGTGGTGGTGAGGGCTGGACAAGTGGTGGTGGTGAGGGCTGGACAAGTGGTGGTGGTGAGGGCTGGACAAGTGGTGGTGGTGAGGGCTGGACAAGTGGTGGTGGTGAGGGCTGGACAAGTGGTGGTGATGGAGGAGGAGGAGGAGGAGGAGGAGGCCGGGCACCAATACCGTCCAGGGAAGGAAGTGGCCAGGTACGTCTCATGGTAATTGTCAATAACTCACAGGTAATGTCTTGGCCCAGGGAAATGATGCCTTGTTGTTTCCCCCTCTCCCCCTTCCCCCGCCCAGTGCTCCTACGGTGGGGGGGAGGGAGAAAGAGAGGGTGGGAGTGGTGGTCATGTTTTGGTATCATCTGCAGCTGGGATAAGGGAAGCTAATCGTAATTTCTTCGCTTCATATAAAAATCAGTGTTTGGGTATCAAGGAGCGCTTCAGGTTAATCCCCGTCACTGATCTGTGTGTTATAATGGACTGAGGTTAAGGTTTGAAGGTTAATTTTGTGCCGTGTTTATATACTGTCCGGTAATTGTCTTTTCTAATATAGGTCCATTATATCGTGGGACCCAGTCGAGGATCTCCGTGAGCCAACGTTACTCAGGTCTCGCTACACGACCTGCCGGCTGGTATTTACTCTCTGTTAATAATATTTTTGATGTTTTTGCTTTACGATCTCGCTCATCCGTTTCTTATCCTGTCATATATCTGTGTATTTCGTGACTTCCTCTTGTTTTCAATTACTGACCACGTGAAGCTGTTGAACATTACTTTGGTCAGGTGTATCTATACTCTCGCTCTTCAACTTGCTTCATCCATCTCTTGTTTCCATGCTTGTAAACTGTCGGGTTTGTTGTGAATATTAAAGATGTCGTCAGCAGGTGAAAGTTATTTAAGTAATCGTTGTTATTATTTATAATTTAAAGCTCGCCAGAAGAATCGCCCCTAGCTTATTTCACCTAAAGATTAGCCTGTACGTTTTGGATATATATATTTTTTTAATTTAATTATTGAAGAGTAGTGTAAGTAACATAAGTTGTTAAAACATAGTAATAGTGTAACAACAACATAAGATTTAAGTAAGTCGTGAAAAATCAGTGGGAGTGGGTGGCTTGTCGGCCGAATGAGTAACTGGACGGTGACCGCTCAGTGTGTGGGTCCTGCGGGACTGTCCTTGGTGTTGCAAAGACACAACCTTCCAACTGATCTCGATCGATCCTCTTGAGAGTAACGAACGATTTTAAGGATCTTTTTCTGGTTAACTCCTGATGATTTTATTCAGTTGTGGGGAACCTTCAGCAATACGAGGGTTAAGGTTACCGTTGTGAAGTACTGTGCTGAAGTTACTACCCAGGTATAGCTCCCTACAACTCTACCAAGTACTGTATAAGAATTACAACACTGGATCTCGGGCCACAAGGAAATGATTTGCATTGTTTTTAGAAACTTGTCAGAGGTGTTTATTTTTAACATAGTGGATATACAGTAGGTACCGGCAGCCGTACTCCAAAAATCACACTGGTTATAGGTGAGGTAGTCGTGTTGACGGGCTGTGTTGTTTATTGTTAAATTAAGTTAGGTTACGTTTGGTTAATCAGAAATCTTAGTAAATCATTATAGAATCTGCCCAGCACACATGCACATTAGGCCGAACCAATAAACGGGGTATTATTTCACTTGTTGCCACTAAACGACTGCCGGGAATTGGTTATAATCAAACCTGTCTTGTGTCATCTTGTGAGATAAAGTAGAATTAGTTACCACATAATTATTTTTAATTCGTTGATTTATAGGTGAGGTTTAGTATTATAGTGACAATCTGCCCCTGTTATATGATTACATTTATCAAGTATTTTCAATTAAAATTATCCCATCTATAAGAAATTACTACTAAAAAGGATTATTTAGAATTGTTTTACGGTTTAGTTTTCAAATTCTATTGAAAACGAGAAACTACGGTGGCGGTATTTGGTAAATTTAAACCTTCCTCCCACACGACAGCCTCGTAATTTCTGAGTTCAGAGCCAGCAGCCTATCACAGCGGATTCACGGTCTCGCCATCCGAAACGACTCGGTTCAGATTCTTGCAGATTCGTACAATAAATATACCTCGTGTCTGAAGATATAAGAAACCACCAGGTGATTTACTTCAGCTAAAGCACAAAAACTTACTCCCAAGAATAGCATAACAATTACACTGGTCCGATAGCTGTACCTTAACTAGATACGTTCTACTGTCATTAGTTCGGAGACAGTCTTGAGGCTAAGAAGTTATTTTCGTTCTTTACCACGTTAACCGGTTGGATACATTCTTACATCTTCGGTTACGATTAATGTTCATCGTACGGTCAAACCTTTGAGAATCGACCCAGAATGATAACCTTCCTTTCTCGCAAAATTCTTGCATGTTTTCTCCGATTTTTGGTTAAGCTGTTCTAGCTCAGCTTACGGAAGAGCTCGTAAGAATCTGTGATACACAAGTGAAGCTATACAAGTTAAGTAAGCAGTTAAGCTTATTCTTTCCAAGCTAAACTAGATTTTTTAAGAGTTCTGCTACATGACTATTGTACAAGGGTGAGCGAGGCTAGTGTATAGAATGACAGGTTATACCTAGTGTTTTATAGAAGAAAGACCAAACAAAGGTAAGATACCATACTTGGTTACGTGATTTGGGAAAACAAATAAAGGAGAGGTTCACGAGGTGTGTTAAACTGCACGACTATACGGGTTAAGTCATACCATACTGACAGCTTCAACGGGACTTTGACACATAAGTTCTGTTGTATAGTTAGTGTAAATTTAGCTTGTAATGTACCAGGTGTTGTATGGTAACCTGTGGTATAGCGGTTAGCATGCTCGCCTCGCAAGCGAGCAGACCCGGGTTCGATACCCGGACAGGGTGAAACTATGGGCAAGTTTCTTTACGCCATTTGCCTCAGTCTACCCAGCAGTAATTGGGAACCTGGATGCTAATCGATCTGCGGACCGTATTTCGGGGTAATAGTTAGCCAGTGCAGTTGACGAGTTGTCCGGTCTTTTCGGACTCTTCCTTGACACTGGGTCATGCAGCTCGTTAACTTAGTGTGGTTGTGTTGGCGACAGCTTCTCCACCCTTGGGCCAGCCATCCTCGTTACACGAGGGACAACCATTATTATTACAGTGTAAACGTAGCTTGTAGTGTACCAGCTGTGTTGTATGGACAAGACTCACTTGGCAGGTTTATTATAACCAAGATAAGACAGGGCAGGACGTAATCGTGCGACCTTCACCCCGTGCTCTCCAACGCGGATGTTTCCAAATAACAAGGTCGAGTTGATGCTCACAGGCTAAATATGGAGGTGATATTGAACTAGCGGATATATCTGTACTCGCTCTTTCCTTCAGTATTTTTTCCTTCCTAAAGTCGATTTCGAAATAGACAAAGGAAATATATTCTGGCGTTGTGCTTTGTCAGGACTCTCATACTGGCTTATTTATAGAGATGATGTACCATTTATTTGTATCTTGTTTCCCCGCCCCGTTGTGATAATTACCTCAGGGATTATTATTAAAAGTGAGTCATAGGCTTCTTCCTTCTCCCTGTATTTCCGAGGCGGGACAATTAATGTTACCACCACCTAACAAAGACTCGTCAATATATACTATACATTTTCTAGTTAATTTGAAACAATTACAATATTTCAAAATATAGAAGAATAATTATTATCGTTTCTATGTAAGTAATGGTGATTTAAGACCTAGCTCACGGACAGTATATCCAAACCTGAATAAATTACAGTGAAGTAGATGGATAATTGATCAGAATGTTAATAATTATTTTCTTTTATGGAGAACGTAGGGACACTTGATCTTTTAAGCTACGATGCTTTTAAAAAAATTAATAGTTCCATCACCTTTAATTGTTACCAGTATTAGACATGTTGGATACCGAGTGGTTCATGACTTGTAGCGACTGGCTTCACGTGCGGATAAATATTTTCTACCTGACCGTCCGTCCCTCAGGAAACTTAGTCATGGGAGCAGCCAGGTGCGACGCTGGGTGCCACCTACCATTTTACCTGTCAAACTTACTGATCATCTTTTTTACTGCTGTTTAATAATTTTTTTCTCATCAGATGCCACAATAAGCTTTACTCTCTTTATCTTATATCATCTATAGATGTTAGGAATCCATTATTAACCGAGTAGTAGACTTTTAAGCGGTTCACTGCTGGAAGAGGAGAGATGACGTCAGTCGTGAGTGTGTGGGTGGGTGGTAGTTGACGGTCTTGGTGTGTGACGCGCGTGCAGTGTATGTTGTGGGGTGGTGATGATCGCGCGGCCCAGTACTAACCGACGGCTCACGTGTACGGGTCCTCTTAGTTAATGTGTTGATCTTGTACGAGTGTTTATTCGGTTCTGGAAATTTAAAAGAATGTGTTAAAAACAGATAAACGCGAGGTTGAGACTATTAGAACATTGTTTATGACGATGACAATGGTTCATCCCTGTTGTGTTGATGATGAAATATACAATGACAGTATATTACAAAGAGTGTTTTTATTTGTTGTTTTTACAAAGTTTTGTCAAGTTTGGCAGGCTGAAAAAACTGAACAACGTTAATAATCACGAAGATCGTAGTACACAATAGAGTGATTGCTTATCAGTGTCGGATCAAGAAGACGCGTTACTAGATGGCTGAACGAGATAAACGGTCCACAGGTGCTGCTACTAGTCACTTCTGATGATAACCAAGACAGAGTATAATGATCAACGAGGGTATTATAACAGGGGGGGGGGGGAGAGGGTATTAGGAGTACTTGTGTGGCTGTATGAGGATGTTTTCGTGTCATGGTTAGGCAACTCACGGAAAACTAAGTAAAAATATTTTCTTAAGGGTGCATAAATGATCTTGGAAGGCTAGAAGGGTAATAATTATGATCGGTAGTTAGGTATCCCAGAGAAAAATCGTATCATCGTATCGTACAGTAATTTAAAAACTCATTGTAACCTAACCTAACCTATGGCTCCTGAGACTAGGGAAGGCGACAGGGAGATAGAACACTAACCCTACCACAGCAACAACAGTGATCATAGGAGGATAATATAGGATGGTGTTTGCTGAGACTTAACTGAGAGAGTATAGTCCGGGAAGCGATTTACAAAAGGCCTTGGTTCTGTTTTGCTGTGTGAGAATCTCCTTGATGGCCTCTCTACTTCCTGAGTTTATATAGACAAGGGTTATTTGTATTACGTCAAGTGAAAGTGGCAAACAATCGAATAAGGTGGTCATAATATCCTCTAACAAGTATAGTTTCCTCAAATGAAAACGTTTAACTAAACAAGGGAGGTGATAAGTATTTCACGATTATAAACTTTTTTGGGGGGTACATTAACATTTATCGTGGCACTGGAATCTTACCAAGTTGACACCAGAGGCCAAGATATCAGTATGTTCAGCAGTTTTATTGGAGAACTCATCATGCTTCCCCGTGCAGTAAAGTGCCGGAAAAACAAAGTCTCCCTCCCCTCTTTCCTCTCGTACACAAAGTATAAGTGGTGGTAGATTAGGTATCTTTGTCAGTATACTGCCTTACAAGACATGACTTATATTACCAGTATTTAAAACCCTTTTGTAAGTAGTGGAGT